TTACGGAGAAACTCCATTCGCCTAAAGGAGGTTTAATAAACGCACGAGAAAGACGTCGTGCTTGCGCTGAATAAAAGTACAGAGTAATAGCGTCCTCTAGTGGTGACGCACCATTAGTAAAGAACACGCTACTAACCTGTCAGTTGCCGCAGGTGCTCGGCGACTGTGCTGCTCTGGGCAAAATTAATTTGACTGGTATTTCAACAATACATAAAACGACAAAATATAATTAGTGTAACGCATACACGTCATTTTGTTCTTTAGCTCTCCATGTGAAACGTTACAATTGTATCCTTTAGTACTATACAGATGTTATTCTTACTATCGAATCCGTGTTTCAGCCAATTGTCTTCACTTGTCCACTCGCGCTGTGAACCAAGGATTCACTCTAACGGGACTGACAGTTGTAAACCCCGCCTACTAAGGCCACGCCTCTATCCAATCAGAGCGCAGGCTACATAAAGATTGGCGTAACACTGCACCAATCATACGACTGTGAGGAGGAGCCGCAAGACCGACAACTATGAGCCGTCTTGAAAAGTGTCAAAAGAAAACAGGTAAGCCGACATTAAATAGGTCTGGGTGGTACTACCGAGATAAGAGCCTAGGCAGAGCCAATAGTGAGAATGAAACAAAGAATGAAACAAAGTAATCTGCCTGAATTTGAAGCAATGCCAAAAAAAAAAAAAAAACCTTTAGTAAAGCTATCAAATCAGCAGGGCCCATTCTTACCTGTATGTAACTCGTGTATAAACTGTGGTTAACACCACATTATGGAAAACTTACAAATTTAATGCCGTTAAAATTCATACTATGTTATTGGATTCATTGTTAATGGAAAGTCTTACGGAGAAACTCCATTCGCCTAAAGGAGGTTTAATAAACGCACGAGAAAGACGTCGTGCTTGCGCTGAATAAAAGTACAGAGTAATAGCGTCCTCTAGTGGTGACGCACCATTAGTAAAGAACACGCTACTAACCTGTCAGTTGCCGCAGGTGCTCGGCGACTGTGCTGCTCTGGGCAAAATTAATTTGACTGGTATTTCAACAATACATAAAACGACAAAATATAATGTAATAATTTATTTAATATAATACAAATATGCAGATGACTAAAATATCCTGAACTTAATAAAATAAACTAATCTCTTGCTTTTGTTTTTAAAGCTTTTCACAGACTTTTCTGGAGTTTGACCATCAAAAAGAATAAAATAGGATGAGAAAAATACCTGTTTTTACTTCTGGCACTCAAATAAGAAAATTTCAGATCTTGTCATGATCAGGAAAGAATTACATTAAAATGTTACATTAAAACTCACATTAAAGGCACAATATGTATTTTTTGCCCCTAGAGGGCGCGTATTCAAAACAAACAAAGGCGTAGTTAAATGACACCGTGACTTAGTGTGGAATCATGGGAGTTGTCGTCTTCTTCCCCACAGCCGAGGCAACCCGATGGGACTCCGGTAGAAATCATGTTCATGGATGAGCTAATGTATTAAAGGGGTCATATGATGTGATTTCAATTTTTCCTTTCTCTTTGGAGTGTTACAAGCTCTTGGTGTGTAAAGAAGATCTGTAAAGTTGCAAAGACTAAAGTCTCAAATCCAAAGAGATATTCTTTATAAAAGTTAAGAGTCAACCACGCCCCCTCTAAAACAGCTCTAACATGCCCTACATGTCTATGACACTATGTGGGAAGATTTGCATAACACCGCCCAAATGTTCACGCAAAGAAAGAAGGTGTAACTTTTACTCTCACTGTAGTATTGTAGTTGCTGCCGCTGCCATGTTGTGAAAGCAAAACTACTTTGTTTGGCCTTCCAAAAGAGGACACAACTAGAAATCAGTGGTTAAGTTGTATTTACAACACTGTTCCAGAACAGTTCAACCCAAATATTCCGATGTGTGCAGCACGTTTTGCGGAGGATGAGGACTGTTTCCTGTGAGAGTAGCCTACAATGCCGGTGTCTGTTTCTATAAAGTTGGGCGGTTAAAACTTTGCAAGGACAGTCTGGCGCTTCTGACTCACAGCCTGTAAGTACGTTTTTTATATTTAAAGAATTTGCCACTGATGATTCAAACACGAGTTTTGAGCAGTGTAAAGTAGCACTTGTTATTTGTCGTTTCTCCAGAAATGGTTTTATGTTTACGCAGCGCGATACGCAACACGTAAAAAGACAGTATAAGTCATTATAATCAGTAATTATGTCCCCACTGGATTCAACAAATGCCTCGTTTGTAATGGGTTTTATTGGTTTTGTCTCATTGCGCCGGGACATGGCATCACAGTATGGTAACGAGCGCAACACATGGCTCGAAAGCAGCGAAGCTTTTATTATGCCACAGTCGACCGCTTCCGCTCCTTCCGGAAAGCAGCGGAAGTAAGCAGCGCTGTTTTATCATACTAGATACATTTTAACATTCTGTTATAATGCTACTCTGTGCGGTCGTCACCTGTCTAATAAAATGCATTGCATATTAAAGCGTCTTTGGTGTTTCCATGTTTTCTACAAAACAGAAATCAAGGGTGTATGACGTCATTGGCAGGCGACACAATGACACTATAGACACGGTCCGTGTCACTAGTTAAAATTGCTTTATTAATTGATTTAAACATTCTATGAAACATTTGGGATAATGCAAGTACACAAGTCAGCAAAATATATAAAACTGTTCTAGTGGTTTTTAGATATTTTAATAAAAAAGTCTTACATATTGTGCCTTTAAACACCTACAGTGGGCAAACCACCACTGTTCGACCTAGGTTGATAATTTGCATCTTTTTGACCATGAGAACAAAATAATCTGTACTATATGTACACCGCATTGTTACAAGTCACCTTTATCAAGTCAATTCACCTTTATTTATATGGCGCTTTATATAATACAAATGTCAGTGTCTATACAGTGTCAAAGCATCTTTACAGTGTTAAACAGGAAAAATGTGTGCTGATAATGCAAGAGGACAATAACAAACAGTCAGTTTATCAGTTAAAGTCAGTTCATTCAGATGTCATCGTCCAGCTCAGTTCAGTTCTCTTCTAATGTCTGTACAGTCAAGTCAACAATGTTGCAAGAAATTGTGTCCCCAACTAAGCATGCTAACTGGGGACTGTGGCAAGGAACCAAAACTCCATCGGTGACAGTAATAGAGAAAATAAAAAACTTTGGGAGAAACCAGGCCAGTTCTCTGGCTAGACAAAACCAGCATGGTGTGGTTTAATTCCAGGCTGCAATGCACGTCAGATTGTGCAGAGGACTTGTCTGGTTCTCGTGGTCTTGTTCCGATGGCCATCTAGTTGACGAGGTCTTCGCAGGGGATCTGTCTCTAGGGCTCATCTAGTTGACATGGTCTCCGCTGACATTCAGGGCTGTAGAGGTTGTCTCTAGTTGCTGATCCACCATCTGGGCTGGATACGGACTGGATCTGGGTGGCTACGCTGACCTCGGAATGAGAATAAAACAGACTAATATTAGCGCAGATGCCATTCTTCTAACGATGTAACAAGTACATCAGGTGTTGTGGGAAGTGTTCCCGGTTGACCTAATTAATGCAGCCTAACAATCCTTTAACGGATTTGAATTATAGAAAAGTTATTGTGTGTTATGTGTAAGTCAGGTTAAAGAGATGGGTCTTTAATCTAGATTTAAACTGACAGAGTGTGTCTGCCTCCCGAACCAGGCTAGGTAGATTGTTCCAGAATTTGGGCGCTAAATAGGAAAAGGATCTGCTGCCCGCAGTTAATTCTGATTTTCTAGATATTATTAAATGGCCAGAGTTTTGAGGTCGCAGTAGACGTGAAGGACTATAATTGGATAAGAACTCACTCAAGTACTGAGGTGCTAAACCATTCAGGCATTTATAAGTAATTAGCAAGATTTTAAAATGTATACAATGTTTAATATGGAGCCAGTGCAGTGTTGACAGAACCGGGCTAATATGGTCATATTTCCTGGTTCTAGTAAGAACTCTAACTGCTGCATTTTGGACCATCTGGAGTTTGTTTATTAAGCACACAGTGCAACCACCCAATAAAGCATTACAATAATCTAACCTTGAGGTCATGAATACATGAATTAATGTTTCTGCATTTGACATTGTGAGCATAGGGCATAATTTAGATATATATTGAAGATGGAAAATGCGGTTTTACAAATGCTAGAAACATGACTTTCAAAGGAAAGGTTGCTATAAAATATCACACCTAGGTTTCTAACTGATGACGAAGAATTGACAGAGCAGCCATCAAGTGTTAGACAGTGTTCTAGATTATTACTGTACATGCAGAGGATTTTGGTCTGATAATTAACACCTGTTTTTTCAGAATTTAGCAGTAGGAAATTACTAGTCATCTAGTTTTTTATATAAGCTCTGCATTCTGTTAGTTTTATGAATTGGTATGTTTCGTCGGGTCGCGAAAAAATATAGAGCTGACGGTCCTAGTACTGAGCCTTTTGGTACTCCATACTGCACTTGTGAACAATATGATACTTCTTCATTCACTGCTACGAATTGATGACAGTCAGATAAGTATGATTTGAACCATGCCAATGCAATTCTACTAATACCAACATAATTTTCTAGTCTATTCAAATGTTGCTGTCACTAGGATCCAGTAGCACTAATAGAGAGATACAACCATGATCGGATGATAAGAGCATGTCATTTGTAACTCTGATGAGAGCAGTCTCTGTACTATGGTACGGTCTAAATCCTGACTAGAAAATCCTCGCAGAGACCATTTTCCTCTAACAAAAAAACATAGTTGTGAGGAGACCACCTTTTCAAGTATCTTTGACAGAAAAGGGAGATTTGAGATTGGTCTGTAATTAACTAATTCTCCAGGATCAAGTTGTGTTTTTTAAATGAGAGACTTAATAACAGCCAGATTGAAGGATTTTGGGACATATCCTAGTGACAATGATGAATTAATGATATTAAGAAGATGATCTATGACTTCTGGAAGCACCTCTTTTAGTAGCTTAGATGGTATAGGATCTAACATACATGTTGTTGGTTTAGATGATTTAACAAAGTTATACAATTCTTATTGTCCTATAGCAGAGAATGGCTGGTTTGATGTATGATGGTGGTCCATAACTGTATAAAGCAATTGGAACTGAGGTGCTTCATACATTTATAAGAATCATCCTGTGAACCTATGTGAACATACAGTAAAATGAACACTGGGTTTTATCTTTAGCAGTCATTCAGGAAGGCAGTGGCCAAAGAGCGCAAGAAGAGTGCTGATAGAGAGAGAGAGAAGGCTGTTTCAGGCATGTCACAGATGTGCGGTGGACATTAAGCCTTTATTTGCAATTGGACTCTAAGTCACTACTCCTCCCTTAAGAAGTTTATCCGCCTGTACATGTATTTGCGCTACAGTCACAAGAGGGGGGATGAAGACAACGCAAAGTGGGTGGTTTATTTGAGAAGTGTTTGGTTTAAAAGAGCGAGAGAAAGAAAGAGAGAGAGACCGATAAAGTTGAGGCATGCAAGGAAGTCAGATTACAGCACTCTATAAACATCTTACAGTGCTTACCAAGACATCTTACCAGTGAACAAGAGCCTTGTGAAGACAGAGAGGAGGATATAACACATCTTTGTACTCCTTTTCTTTCAACGAGAAGAATGAAACCTCAAATAAAGAGAACGTTTTCAAACTTCTTCTTTGAATACGAAACTCCTCGACAGGTTCTGGTCAGGAACAAAAGAGTTGCAGTTGTGTGCCGAATCATCCAAATGGGTGTTCTAGCTTACATCATTGGGTAAGAGATTTATTTTATTATTTAAAAATCTGAAACAGAAAAGCAGACAAATATCAGTGAGCATGAGTAACTGAACGGAACATGCTTCAACGAGGGTAAAAAATTTACAGAATGCAAACAAACTAACAGCTCGAGCCTTATATTGAACGGAACAGTTAAGGGCTGTCATGATGTACCATTTAAGATAATGCATTTAGTCTAACTAGCAGCACACCATCAAACTGTTATTGTTTCAGAAAGGACACACATTTCTGAAGAAAATTTGAATAAGCTTAAATGTGTTTTATGTGCTTGATTTGCTTAAAAGTATGCTCTTTTTCTGTTTTTTATTGCATCTCATTTAGATTTAATGGCTTATAGCTTCAATAACATAGCAACAGCTCATCTCCAGTCATAGAACTAACAGCTGGCCCTCAGTATGTATTAGATAACTGGATGTACGTGGCGTCTGTGTAAAAGATTCACTTACGCAATGTTCATGATATGAGTGTCGCATACAGACATGTTTATAAAAGCAAACATTAATTTGAGCGGTAAAATGTCATGGTGTAGTCATTCATGGAGAAAAAGCAGACTTTGGCAGATGTTAACCTTTACAACAGTCAAGTCCAGACAAACACTGCTCATTTCCTCTTAAAGGGTTAGTTCACCCAAAAATGAAAATTAGCCCACAAATTACTCACCCTCAAGTCATCCTAGGTGTATATGACTTTCTTCTTTCAGACGAATCCAGTCGGAGTTATATTAAAAATTGTCTTTGATCTTTCAAGCTGTTTAATGCCACTCAGCGGGTGTTGCATGCATCAGTCCAAAAGAAGTTAAATAAAATGCGCCCATCCATAAAAGAAAAGTGTCTCACACGCCTCCGAGGGGTGAACAAAGGCCTCCTGTAGCGAATCGATGCATTTTTGTAAGAAAAATATCCATATTCAAAACGTAATAATCACTTTAATGTAGCTTGCACCAACAGTCCTACATGGAAGCAGCTCCGGGCGGATGACATATGAGGTCAGTTTTGCGTATGCGCCGCTCAGAAGTGACGCATGCGGAAGTGCAGGGGAGAGATCAAAACAAAACACTGGTCACTTATTAGAAGTACAAAACGAGGATTTGTAAAGAAGAATGTCGGAGGATTTCAATATAAGCCAAGAGGAGACTGGTTTTCCATTGCTAAAGTAAGGAAACTTTGCTTCCTTTGCTCCTGTTAACAAACGTTGGTTTTCCCGAGACTCACCGACGCATGCGCAACGCTGACCTCATACGTCATCCGCCCGGAGCTGCTTCCATGTAGGACTGTTGGTGCAAGCTACATTAAAGTGATTATTACGTTTTGAATATGGATATTTTTCTTACAAAAATGCATCGATTCGCTACAGGAGGCCTTTGTTCACCCCCCGGAGCCATTTGAGACATTTTTTTATGGATGGGCGCTTTTTATTTAACTTCTTTTGGACTGAAGCATGCAACACATTTAATGAGTGTCATTAAACAGCTTGAAAGATCAAAGACAATTTTTAATATAACTCAGACTGGATTAGTCTGAAAGAAGAAAGTCATATACACCTAGGATGACTTGAGGGTGAGTAATTTGTGGGCTAATTTTCATTTTTGGGTGAACTAACCCTTTAAGTAATTCAAACCTGTATTATGCAATCCATTGAGCATCAGTTAACACTATAGGCGGATGGTGAACCAACTCCAGGGTAAGGCTAAAAGCAGCCAAATGTATTAAACATCATAAACCCTTCTTTTTAGGCAAGGACCAGACATGGGTGTCATGTAGGCTAAAAAAAATGTTTAATGGGACTGAATTAGTATTTAACGTGATTACAATTTAATAAAAACGTTAGAAATTGATAATTATATAACGTTTCCTTTCCACAGTTATTCAAACAGCGAATAAATTATATATAGAAAGTGACGACATTATCACTAACATTGATCTATCACGAGTTTAAGCACTTTCAAAAAAACAAAACTATCTTTATAATCACTGAAACTGTATACACTGTGAAATCTCTTACTGACATTGTACGTCCATCTGCGCTTTGTTGTTTATGATGAGAGAATTTGCAAGAGTCTGGAATTCATTCAGCGAACGCGCGCGCACACAACAAAACTGATCTGTTTTAACAATGACTCATCTGAACGCCTCTGATTGGACATTGCATTACTAAGCTCAACAGAATTGTGTGTGTGATTAGTTAAAAACTGTAAAAACGCCTAAAATGAAATGCGGTGCAACATGAGCAGATCTTAATTTAATGCCACAATCGACACTGTCTATTCATATTCACTTTGTTGGCAACAGACGTAATAGATTTAATTTGATTGTGCAGGGGCATTTTTGTCCAATTTAGTGGCATTTTTGCCCCAAGTCCCCGTGGCCTTACACACGCTCCGCCTATGGTTAACACATTATGTGGGTGTCCTTTGTGTGCTCTAAAATTTGCATTTAAAGTAACCAAATGAATGTTGAATAAGTGTGTTGCACTTCTCTTGAAATCAATGACTACTGTGCAGTATATAAAGCCACTGGAGCAAAAACACAATTGGAAAAGTGGCTGTAATATACTGTGATACGTTGCTGTCTCCTATTTAGGGGGTACATCTACAAGGTGTTACATCACTGTATTAAACTTTAATGTCAGTGATCACATAGAACAGCATGAGAGTGTGCTGCTCTCGCATCCCTCTCTGTTACTCACTTTAGTTTATCAGTGAACATCAGCAGACCACCCTTAATGAATCAAATGCAGCTCTGGTCCAAATTACAGCAGGATGACAAAGGTATTTGTTTGGGTATTCAAAGCTAGAAAGCATTAAACACTAAAAACCTGCATGTCGTCTACAGCTGGTGTTTGTGCAGCTAAAAGTGGATGGTGCTTCTGTTATCTGTCATGTAGAAGTTGTTTGTCTTTGTAGGCAGGTTAACTAAACGAAACACAAATTGATCAATTCGATAAACTGTTGCTATAGTATTAGTTTTGGTCTGTGTGGAGCAGTATTTCATCTTTAGGTGTGCCATACGATAAGACTGAGAGTCATGCTTCAAAGGGAAGGATACTGTTAGTCGTGTCTTGCTAGAGGGCATGAGGCCAAAATCTTATTGCTTCATCCTACTTTTATATGACACAAGGTGGTTCAACTACATACTGTTTGAACACATGCACACATTCTAAAATGCAAACTATAAAACACAGCCTTGTGATGTTAATCGTTTTCCAACTGCTGTGCAAGTTTAATAGTGCAAATCATGAGGACTCAGTATATGCTTTTTACTTGAAAAGAATAATGCACTGGTAAATATATTTTGTATTGTTATTGTCAATCAGTAACCAATAAAAATGAAACTAATAGCAGTTCTGAGTAGAAAGGTATTAGGATCAAATTAAATTAAAAAATCGAAAAAACTGCATTTTTTTTCTCTGTTGACACATTAAGCTCAATATTGACAAATTGTGTGCTGTGAATATTCATGAATAGAATGAAGAAAGAAGAAACATCAGATATTTCTGAAAATAATATTAAAATCATATAATAATACAAATAATATAATGCAAAGTGTGGCAAGGCACTGTCAAAAGATCTCTGGGATAAAGTTGTGGACAGGCACAAGTCAGGAGATGGATACAAAAACATTTTAAAGGCTTTATCAATTTCTAGAAGCACAGTGAAGTCTATTATTAAGAAGTGGAAGGCATTTGGTACAACACAGACCCTCCCTGGATCAGGACGTCACTCCAAACTGGATGAAAGAGCAGGAGGAAACTGCTCAGAGAGGCTAAGAGGCCTACAGCAACTCTGAAGCAGTTGCAGGAATTTATGACAAAGAGTGGTCATCATGTGCATGTGAGAACAATATCATAAACTATCCACAAATGTGGCTTGTATGGGAGGGTTGCAAGGAAAAAAGTCACTCCTCAAGAAAGGCCACATGCAGTCACGACTGAGCTTTGCCAAAACACACCTTGAAGATTCTGAGGCAGATGAGACTAAAATTTAATTATTTGGCGTCAACACCAAATGATATGTCTCGCAGAAATCCAATACAGCTCACCATCCAAATAACAGCATTCCTACAGTAAAGCATGGAGGTGGTAATATCCTGTTATGGGGGTGTTTCTCTGCAGCAGGGACTGAAGCACTTGTCAGGATAGAAGGAAAAATGGATGGGGCAAAATAACGTCAAATTAATATACAATCAAGTAAGTAAATACAGCTGGATTAAACAAAAACTTTGTCCATCTTCATTTCAGGCTGCAAAGCAACAAAATGTAATTATTTTAAAGGGGGGTGATTCTTTTCTATACCCACTGTATATATACTGTATACTGTATATATATCTTCAGACTGCAGCTTGGTTATAGCAGACCGGGTCATGAATTGTTTTTTGCTTTTTTTAGGTGGGTGTTCATGTATGAGAAAGGCTACCAGATAGTAGATATTGCCATAAGCTCCATCTTCACCAAGATGAAGGGAGTGTCCTTCACAAATATCAGCGAAAAGGAGCGGATATGGGATGCAGCTGATTATGTTTTTCCTGAACAGGTGGGTTGTGTCTCCTCATTTTGGCCTCCGAACTGAAAACTTCAGAAGCCCTAATTTATATACATGGGTATCATTATTTTTTCTTTAGTTTTATTATTATTTCAAAAATGAAGAAATATGTATTTGAATGCAGATGTAGGCTACTGAATGGTAATTGTCCATCCACTAAATTTCATGTTATGCTTCCTGAGTGTAAGCATGCTTATATTGGTATAAGAGTCATTATGGCTGTGAATTTGGCCTAATCACAGATAAATGTACTCTACTCTTATTGTGTAAACATCTGCAGACACACGCGGGTTATTCTCACCCTGACTGAGAAAGTGCTGACATTGTCACAGCAAGTAAACATCTATATTGTGACACTATTTAGAAGGGTAATACTTTAAACAATATGACACCGTAGTCGATTGTAAAGATCTTGTAAAGTTTTTTTTTTATTTTTTATAAATAAATGCCATTATTTACTTTATGCCAACAGCCTGCATCAGTTTCAGAATGTGAACTTATTTCGCAGAAAGCACCCAGTGCAATAAGAAAGCGACAGACTGTTGACAGAAAAGTAAACACGTCATCACTCAGCAATCAAAGGAGTGGCTCTAGGAGCTACTTGGAGTCAAATAATATCATCCAAAAAAGCAAATATCAAAATGTTCATCACGATAACACATATCAGCGCTTTTGTGCACACACACACACACACACACACTGGGTTTTCATGATATACTGAGACTTTCTATAGACATGATTTTTATACTGTACAAACTGTATACTCTATCCACCAACCTTAAACACAGCCCTCACAGAAAATTAAATTGATCAAGAGTGATGGTAAAGACATTTTATAATGTTACCTACATCAAATCAATTCTGTTCTTTTACTTTTCATTCATCAAAAATCCTGAAAAAATGTATCACAGTTTCCACATAAAATATTAAGCATAACAACTTTTTAATGTTGATAATCGGCATATTAGAATAATTTATGTACTTACTCTAAGATTCTGCACAAAAACACTTGTGTTAATGACCATTACAAATAAATAAATAAATCACAGGTGTTATTGAGTACAGGTTGCTGCCACTAAGCTAACAGTGCTAGCAGAGCAGAGACATGAGAGATGGAATGACACTCAGACTATTTAAGGCTGAGGTTAAACGGTTTAGGTTTTGGTTTGAAAAAGGACATTCATCATGTCATGCAGGGGTGTCAAAAACAGTAACCTGAAGTCAAGCAAGCACAGTCAGTTTCAAAAACTCCATTTCTTATGCAACCACTAATAGACAAAGGATGTACTGTAAATTCAACATGGCACTCTGGCACTCTGTTCTGTAGCCATCCGCATACTGGTTTGAGCTTAGAGACTGAAACTACATATGGTCATGTGTAAGCCTTCAAGTCCTTTCTGTTCCATTTTCCAGGGTGACTCGTCTTTTGTTGTGATGACGAACTACATTGCCACTGTGGGACAGAAACAGGACAAATGTCCTGAGGTAGGTAAATGTCTTTCTCTCCTTCCCTCATCTCTATTGGCTTTCATAAGCGTGGCTCTCATAATTGTTTGTTTATTTCTCTAGGATATCTATATGAGTCATATCCTGACTATCTTTCCCCCCAGTAAAAATACAGTTGCCGGTTTCTCAGAAATAAGGGGCGAGGGCCGTCATGCACCAGGCAGTCCTGGCTCGAGACCAAACTAAAACTTAATCCAAATTATGAATAATGAATAATAAATGAATTCAAATTAATTGAAAACAAGTAGTGAAGGTTTCATTTAGTGTGCATGGAAAACTGTGATCAAATCAACATTTTATTGATTTTTTATTTTTTTGCATTCATAATTCACTTTAAAAAATCTGAGGGCGTACATGCTTGTTTAGTTTGAATATAGTTTCCCATATAATAAGTCACAATTATGGTTGTCCTGTTCATCAGAATGTTTTTTGTAAATGCTGAAATACTGTACAAAGACAATCAGGTTTTTTAACATTTCATTAGTGCATATTTTTCACTAGATTTATAGCATTGTTCATTAAAATGCATAAAATACAAAATAGTCTGGTCATATTATGTACAGTCACAATTCTCTAGTGTTTTCCAAGGCAAAAGCTAAACTGATATTTTTGTAATGGTGTGTGACACTTTAGTATGATATTAAAATTAATGAACTTTTACAACAGTTGCAATGTACCAGTAAGCCAAAATCAAAGTGCAATGCATTTTAGCACTTAATTCAGTCCTTAATACATGCAAGGCAAAGACATTTTACAGTGTGGTTGATTGTCAACCACCCAAGGTTCATTCAAATCTAAAATGACGTGTTAAAGAAATACAGAAAGTGGATTATTATCCTTATTATCCTAAAAAGAAACTGAAAGTGTCACTTATTTCCCCCATAGTCCTTGGCAAACACGCATATAACCTGCGATACAATCTGTTACTTTCCAGCAAAGTAACATGACTAAATTTTCTGTACCATCTCTTCATTCATTTTCCTGCTCTTGGTTTACCTCAGTCATATTTGACTTTCACTTGACTCTCTATTTGACTTTATTGCCCTACCTGCAAAGATTTGCTTAAACAAATGAGTCTCAAGAATTGAGTTTTGTGGTTATTCTGCTCCTTCTGTGCATCCCGTTTCATTTGGATCTCACATTTGCATATTTTCAACAAGCCATTTGGGGCTTAATTAAACACTAATATCCATTAAAGTGTGTTTCCTTTCCTTTGTGAATTTCAGCTGCCAGATGGGAAGAACAAATGCACTTCTGACGCACACTGTGATGAGGGCAAATACAAACGTATGGGAAATGGTAAAGTTTTAACCATTTCATTGTTCCGACAGAAGGCACCGGCGCAGCAGACTAACTTCACATCACTAGCAGCCAGGGGCAGAGGAACTCACTTGTTGAGTGTTTTTTCATGGCCATTGTATAATCCCTTTGACCCTGACTGGTAACTAAATCAATGCACCATCGATCTAAGATACGTACCGCAGAATTCAAATGATCATGGGTTAAGAAAATTGGTGCATTTGCACGTAAGCGTTTGGTTTCAGCTCTACTCAGAATCAAAGGGGGCCTAATGAACTCTTACTCTCCTAACTGACAAACCTGCACATCATCCATGCTGTCGTCTCCGTAAGTCACCAACATTCATGACTAACATGCTTTGCTCTCATTCTCTAAGGCTTTTTTTCTTAGCTTTCCACATCTTTGATGAATTTTACCCCATGCTTATACTGATGTCTGTAATTCCCAGAGTTCCACAGGACTCTTATCCAGATTCAGATTACTTGGTGTGACTAGCAGTTTCTATACAGCTGTTTTGCCAATTTTAAATGAATACTAATTAATATAGCAACAACATGTTTAAGAACTGAATTTTGTAAATAAACTTTCCATATCTTCACTCATTTATTTATTTAAAAAAAAAAGAAATCAGTTTTAAACATTCTCCAAATTGTATTTGATAATTTAACAATAAATTATAATAACAGGAGCTACGCAAATTTATTCCACTGCTACCCAAACATAAATTTAGACTCATGTTAAATAAAGGACTGGCAAAGCTTAGTAGTAGTAGTTGGTATTAAACCCAATCAACATTGCTAATTGAAACACCAATAGCTAATAAACACTTAACAAAAAGCTGATTTAAAACAGAAAAATACAGTCAAACCCATATTACTGGCTGATATCGTGAGTTCTGTGTGGGTCACAAATACTCAAATATTGACTCAGTTTCACATGCAGCCTAGCAGAACGATTTACTCCTGGAATACAGACGTAAGTAAACAGCACTATCTCATATTGCAGAAATTCAAAGTGCCCTGACTTCCAGTCATGGGCAAATGGCACAAACTTCCAACAAACTTCACCATACAACACATATTTTCCTTAATCTTGTTACAATACTGACCCTGTGAATTCAGGGTCAAATTCAGTTGTTTTTTCTTGAAAACACACAACCTTCTTGTTGTTTATGCCATGCTTCAGACTGCATATCATTTCATGCTTATTGTATCATGTCTCTGATATATATTTGATGTTCTGTGACACAAGGGATGTGTCATATTTTATGATTACACTGTGTATTTTAATGGTTGTACAAAAGTTTGTCAATGTTATTCTACCACCAAAGCAAGTGTGTGAATGTAAATGTTAAAAGAGTCAGACTGAAATCACAAACATATGACAAAAATTCAATTTGATGAAAGCATTCCTAAATAACTAGACTGAGAGAATCATCCTTCATGCTCATTAACTCAGAGAAAAGTTAATTTAGTAACATGAAAGTCATGGCAGCTCCTCACTGAAATCTCACAGTCAGTTACTAATGGAAATGGATGTGTATCAACCAAACAAATTGATTTGATTTAGCTTTTCACACGGTCTGACAATCTTCTACCCAAAAAATTTATACTTTTAAAATGTAGACATTTTAATATGAAAAATGTTTCTGAATACCAGTTTTGAAGTGTGCATTCTTGTGCTGAGAGTAAATCAAAAGTATGACATTGTTTATGTGTATGTGTGTGTTTAAGCATATACAGTAGGTATCAAAAGTCTAAATCCATATAGAAAATGTGGGATTCAAAGTGTTATTTAAACCTGTACTGTAAACCTGGCTAAATATATGTAAGGGTAAATGTAAATTGGTATTAAATTAGTAAAATGCAACATCTAAGCATTTTCACAAGGGACATAAGACTTTTGGATCCTACGATATACCCTGCCATCTCTCTTTGGGGCTCTCTTGTTTTGTTTCAGTCTGTTCTGATCAACACCAAAGCTCTTATACTCTACTCTTCACTTAAAGGCATTACTGTCTTTCTCAGGACACATGACGGGCAGGTGTATAAACGATACAAGTACTTGTGAGATCTACTCCTGGTGTCCAGTTGAAGATGACCGTAAAATACCAGAGTATGAATGCTTATTTTATTATTGTTGTTGATTAATTGACTAGATCACATGGAGTGTAAAACAATAACAGTTATTGTGGCATGCCTGGACTACAATTATTGGATTTGTTTTTTTTGTGGCAGCTTTAAATTAAATTTGGAGCAGTTGTGGCCTAATGGTTAGAGAGTTAGACTTCTAACCCAAAGGTTGCGGGTTCGAGTCTCGGGTCCGGCAGGAATTGTCGGTGGGGGGGAGTGAATGACCAGCGCTCTCTTCCACCCTCAATACCACAACTGAGGTGAGACCCTTGAGTAAGGCACCAAACCCCCAACTGCTCCCCGGGCGCCGCAGCAATATGGCTGCCCACTGCTCTGGGTGTGTGTTCACAGTGTGTGTCTGTTCACTACTCACTACTGTGTATGTGCACTTGGATGGGTTAAATGCAGAGCACAAATTCTGAGTATGGGTCACCATACTTGGCCACATGTCACTTCACATTCAGTAAATTATAAGCCCACCAAAAAAGACCAGCAATTAGACGAGCAATGTGTTATAGTTAAACCATAATGAATTGATAGATACTGTTTAATAAAAAGCAAATACTCGCCATTCCTGAATGACTTGAATGTCATGTTTGTGTAGAAATCTTGGAAACTAAACAAAATAATCAAATTACACTTGACAGTTGCTTTAAACGTAAAAGTAGGTTTATACCTGGAGCATGTGACCGATTGTATTCAAAATAGTTTTGAATCGGCCTATAGTCTTGGTCTGATCCATTTAACTTTGTTTTGTCCCTCTTATATTTTTCCGTAGCCCTCCAGTCCTGCTGACAGCAGAAAACTACACACTGTTCATCAAAAACTCCATTACCTTTCGCCAGTTTAATGTAGTAAGGTAAAAATTCTATTTCCTTGTGTTATACTGGCAAAACCTAACAAATAAATTCGGACGAAGGAGGTTGAAATAAAAAGGAACTATTTAACTTAGAAAAGATTATTTTGAATGTGCCTTTCCTATAATCCAGTGGTTTATTGGGGTTCTAAAGATAGTCTGCATTTATTGTTTCATCCCAAATAAATTTTTGTGAAAAAAAGAAAATACACAACTAAAAACAAAGCTTATTGTCTCTCTGACATCAATAATAATTTTAGTGGATTTGCAATAAGCATCATACTGTAACAACATTAGTACAGTACATACCAATATGGTAATTTACATGTTATTGAAGGCCAGGCTTAAAATGCAACACAGTTTTATCAGTTTTGTCTAATTGCTGAAGTTCTCCTCACTCTTTTTTTTTCTCTCTAGGAGTAACTTGGTGGAGAGTGTGAATCAGAGTTACATCAATACATGTTTGTATCATCCCAAGACTGATCCACTGTGTCCTATCTTCAGACTGGGAGACATTGTTGAGCGTTCTGGGCTCAGTTTCTCAGAGATAGCTCGTGTGGTAGGTTTTTTGTCATCAATGATTGTAAATACACACACACCCACTCTTACTTGTTCTTAAAACATGCATTCAGTCCAGTAATTAGGATGACTTCCAAATGACTGATGTATTGAATTGTATAGTTTACAAACTTAATAAAGATGTTGAATCATGATCAAAATCAAGTCAAATTGTAGGCTACAGTATTTTGTTCTGGGTTTCCAAGGGAATTTCTGAATAACGGCAAAATAAGTAAAAAATAATCATTAAAATAAGTCTGTGCTCAACAAACCTTGAAGAGATTTTCACATTTTGTTCTATTAATGTGATTTTGCCATACAATGTTTACAGCTTTACATCTTGCTATTGTGACTATATTTCTCATATATCTTACAATTGTGACTTCTCACTATAGTAACTTTATATCTTGTAATTGTGACTTTAAATTTTAAAATTGAATAACTGACTTGTTGACTCACAACTTGAGTTTCTCATTTTAAACTTTATCCCAAAATGACCCGTTTAAGTTTTTTAATATAATATTTATATTGTTTTTAATAAGACTACTCTAAAAATGTGAAGGAAACCCTAAGGAGCCCATGGTTTGGAAATGCTCATTTCCCCCATTGTTATATGTTTTATAGTACAATATATATAATATAATAATATATATTTATAATACAAGAGTATTATTATTGTAGTGAAATATTTGACATCTGGAGAAGATTACAGAAGCATGAGATGATAATCTCCATGATATTTCCCTTGTGATGTGTTAGGGTGGTGCTATAGGAGTCCTCATCGACTGGGACTGCAATCTGGACCTGAGTATCAGACACTGCAAACCAAAGTATGAATTCTATGGTCTTTATGGAACGGGGAAAAATGAGGACAAAGAAGAGAAACCATCATTGGGATACAATTTTAGGTACCTTATGAAAGCAACAGACTTTTTAATTAGACTACTCTGCGGTCCTGTGGAAGCAGAACTATAAAAGAGACAAGGAAAATGAATATTGTCCAAGTAATCTGTGATTATGCAGTGAAAAGACTTCAATATGGTCAATATTCATGTTCATTTAATACAGCTAAAATGAGAAAAGGTCAGTGGTGCTGTACTGTATTATTCCTGAGCCTGTGAGCTTTGATGGGTTATTTAATTAATAAAAATGGTTTTAAAGAACTTTAAGAATATATTGAGTGGATTCACTACTAGAATTATTATGTGATACTGTCTGTTTTAGATATGCTAAATATTATGTGGAGAATGAGGTGGAAAAGAGAACGCTAATGAAGGTGTTTGGTGTACGGATAGACATCATTGTTCATGGACGGGTAAGCTTATTTTTTATGGATCATTCACAAAGAAATGATGGGACATGCACATTTCCATTTGTTTACAACTGTTCCTTGCAGGCAGGAAAATTTGATATCATCCCTACGTTGACGGCTATAGGCTCAGGAGTAGGAATCTTTGGAGTGGTAAGTGTCACAGAGAATAAACTTCTATACTTATATAAAGAGATACCTGGTAAAATTTCCTACTTTTACTCCATCTTTTGGATCCTACTGTCATGAAGGAGATGATACCAGATGTAAAAATCTTTTGTGTTGTACCATCCATGTAAAAATGAAAAGATGCATTAATGTGGAACTACTGTATATTACACAGCTCTCTGAAGTACTTCAATCTGATTAGTCCACTATGATACTCTGTGGCTAAAAATGCAATAAATAAACAAATACACCACAGTTCAAAAGTTTGGGGCCAGTAAGATTTTTTTAATGCTTTTTTAAAAGAATTTTCTTATGTTCACCAAGGCTGCAATTATTTGATCAAAAATACAGTAGAAGCAGCAATGTTTTGAAAATTGTTAAATCGCAGGTATATAAAATGATCTATCAGTGATGGCAAGGCTGAATGCCACACGATCCTTCAGAAACCATTCTAACATGTTGATTTGGTGCTCAAGAAACATATTAATAATGTTGAAAACAGTTGTGCAGCTTAATATTTTTGTGGAAATATTTTTTTAAGTATTCTTTGATGAATATAATGTTTAAACAAACAGCATTTATAGAACCTTTTGTAAAAAAAATAAAAAAATAAATATATATATATATATATAAAAAGTAATTCCTGTCACTTTTGAGCAAATGAATGCATCCTTGCATTAGTATGGAAAAAATCATACTAACCTCAAATATTTGAACGCTAGTGTATCTGTATGTTAATGACTCAATGACTATGTTGATGACTGACTTGAAACTGAAAAAAGAACAGGATAGATGCATCAGATTAGATAGATTCCAAGCTTACCTTTCTTTACACTTAGCTGTTAAACCACAAATTGGACTCAAAATATCCCCTAAGTGCTTTTTATCTTATTGAAATGAACTAACATTTGCTCTCATTTGTTGTTTAAGGCAACCGTTGTGTGCGATATGCTGCTCCTATATTTAGTTTCAAAGCGAGATTTCTACAAAAACATGAAATTCAAGCATACAGAAATCGAGGAAGAGGTGAGTGTTGTTTTTAAATGAATAAAAGGTATTAAATATTTAATTTGAGTCAAACTTGCCATTGTGATTGCTGGAGTGTCCCCGAGAGCTCCATGGATAGCCAATGCTAGTTCACTACCGAAACACAAGATGGCAGCAGAGATACATATTTTGGTGCCATGCAAAAACTGTTACTTGGGCAGATGCAGATGCAATGCAGTTTCCAAATATTTACATCAAGCTACATTCCCGTAGTGTCCTTATGGAAACAGCCAGGATTTAACTGTAATTAAAATGTCCAAAGCACATCTGAGGGAGTGTATGTGAGTGGAAAAGTATAATTACGTCAGTAAGTATCTTACTTTTGATCTGTATGCACATAGGCAGTATGCAAGACTACTGTATTCAAGTCCATGCAACACCACGGCTTCCTGTAGACATCTCTGCAGTGATAGTTACCCTAGCAACGCAGCACATTGACCATACTTGTTTCTTATATAAAGAAAGGAAAGTGAGGCCACATCTTAACCTCCAGGACTCCCACTCTAGCAGCCTTCTGAGAAAGAAACACATTGGGGTTGATAGGAGCATGGGAAATGATCTCCGATATGTATTTGCCCTTCCACAGAAGCCAGCCTTGTCTCAGTCAAAGACAGAAAGAGATCTGCCAAAGGTAACATACCATTAAAATAATTTCAGCCGCAGATCCCTGTAGAATTATGGCGTATCTCCATAAACAACTTTTCAATTTTAGTTGTGGTCACAGTAATTCTGATCTTTGCTGTGCACAGGAGTGAAGTCTGGATGGCTGCCATGACGACTGACTACTGCACTGAAGAGAGAGAGAGAAAGAGAGAAACCCCCTCAACACTGGAGCTTCAACAAGACGGCTGGGAGACTTGACACAGAACTGTCAGACATCACTTTTCCTTTCTAAATAACATTTCCTTCCCAAACTACTGAGGAAAGACATTAAATCAGTGTTATGATTTAAGACATAACTAATACCCACTGAATGTGTTCGTATTGAGAGGCTTAGGACTGTAAAGGTACACAATTGTATGAGGGTTTTGAGGTCTTTACAAGGTTCCCAAAGTTTTTGGCAATTACCATGTAATGTCTGGATATGTCACCCATATTCAACTCTGGATAATGTATCACCTTAAAACGATTAAAATTAATATTTTTATTTACTGATAGGTGTTTTGTAAAGGTGTTGTTGTTGTTTTTGTAGCAAGTCAAACTGTTGAGCCTACAATTTTTGTGAATTTTTTTTTAGATGGTTAGTCAACCATATGAGGTTGAAACTAACCAGCTCTGAAAGACAGAAAGGTGAGTGATTTAAGCCTTTTGTTTTAGCTCATTCACAAAACACTGAGCCAAAAAACATAGGATGCTCAAAGGATCTCAAAGGTCTGTTATTTTATTATTAGTAGACAGCCGTCTGGACTACTTGATTTTAATGCAGCATTCAATGATCAAATATATCAGAAACAATGACACATTCCGACCACTTATCCAGGAAACTCTTAGCTGTGCTTGTGTTCTGTCTCTAAAATTATTACTCAAATCAATATTCCATGCCCATATATTTATTTGTTTGAAAAGTAGTCATGTAGTCATTGTTGTAATAAAAAAAAATAAAAAAAAACATTAATCAGGTAGAGTTGAGGGTTTCTGGACACTCATACAGTCGTTCTTTATAACAAATAACAAAATAGTTTTCCACATAACAAAATAGTTTGGTCACTTTAGTTTGGGGATCAATTCTCACTATTAACTACGACTTTTGCCTCAAACTCCTAATTTGCTGCTTATTAATAGTTAGTTGTTAAGTTTAGGTATGGACGGGATTAAGGGATCTAAAATATGGTCATGCAGAATAAGGCATTTATATGTGCTTTATAAGTACTAATAAGCAACCAATATGCTAGTAACATGCACGCTAATAAGCAACCAGTTAATAGTGAAAATTGGTCTCACTATTAACTGGTTACCAATAATTGAAACTCGCATGAAAATAAAACCCTTTTAGAGTGATACAAAACCCCTCTGCTTTGCACTGGCATCCTGATAACTCTGTCTGGGTTTATTTTGCAACAATTGACTTTGCTTTTATTTGTTGGAATTTACCTAAATTTGAGTTTACTTTTTTTATTAAATGATTAACAATCTTGAACCATTTTAAAATCAGACAGCACCATGAAGGATTCCTTGGTTTTATGGTGTACAAAATACTATTTTAAAGAATAGCTACTGTTATAAGTATTATTAGTAGGTAAATTTCATAGATTTTTATCACATGCAATTGAAAATAATAATAGAATCCTATGTGACAAAACATAAAGAAGGAACCTGAGTCACCTGTGATATCTTTATTGTCTTTGATTATGTCTGTGTACAAAAAGCATGCAAAAAATAGCATCTTTATATGCTTTGGTACATATTTACATAGTAAGAGTTGCATTCAGTGCTTTCTCGGGACATGCTCTTTTTTGTCTATTTTCTTAGAGTTTTTTAAACGGTTACATTCAGATCAATGCCGCAGAATACAAACGTCTATAAATAACCAGCAATATCAGGCACTCTGACACAAATAATTGGGCAGTACATGAATCAATTCTGATATACTTTTAAATCAAGAAATGGAAATTAAAAAAGCATAAAGCTTTGATAGCAAGAACATTTTGCAGCTACAAAGTGCCTCAAAATGGGCAATTTTCTCTTCCCTCCTTCAGAGACTCAAATAAGGGAAACTTCTGTGAATGTGGGTAGACAACTGATCAAACCTCATCTATTGCACATGAGCCGAACCCAGAAAAGAAAATAAAGCCTTCACACTTGAGTTGATTGCTCAGACTGAGGTATGGCATATTGGCTGCTGCATATGTTTAGATTATACAAAAGTCCTGCAGGAAACAATTTAAAGGGGGTTTAGACATTATTTGTTTTGTCTCACATAGATATCAAAAGGAATAGCAAACCTAGAGGGAAGTTTGTAAAAGGTTATAGCAAGTTAAGGGACATGCCGTTCGTCAAGACACTAACATGTGCATAGCATACATCAAGAAATAACTGACAAGACTACTGTACATTTGAGACAGAATGGACAAATGCGATTACACACCCACATATATAAGAGAAGAATGGGGATCATTTAAAGCCATTTGATGAATTTATAAATACACCTTAGAGCTCCTGAACACAGAATATGCTACTCCATTCTCTCTGTATTCTCAGAACAGCAGTGTCCAGAACCTGAGTACCACATACAGAATCTCAATACACAACAGAAACGAGACTCCATTTAATGCCTGAATCAAATACTCCATACAGACCGACCGAGAAAAAAAAACACTAGTTGTTTGGCACTGAAAATGGTTTTCCTGTGTAATTCAGTTTAAAGAGAAAATGGTATGGGCATAATGCTATCTACAAAGAGTGTGTGCGTAAAAGAGGGTCATCGAGAGAAGGAGAGATGGGGAAGACAGTGAAGAAGGGAAGATTGTGTAGGAGTCATAAAAATGGACCACCATCTGCTCAGGATATTAGTGAGAATATAATGAAAGTGGTCCACTGCGGTTTATCAATTCGTCTTCATATAAGCAATAATGAGTCCTCTAAATGAGTGAAATCGGTTAAAGGTTTCCTCTAAGCATTCGCTGCTTACATAAACAGTTTACTGGAAATAATTGACAGCTGACATGATTGAGTCCAGTTTTATCCTTGTAAAATGAATTAAAGGGGCAGTTCACCCTGAAATAGTCAAAGCTGCACTTTTCCATATGAAAGAGGAATGGTGACCCATTCAATTTCATTACATATGAAATAAGCAGCTTGGACATTCTACTAAATATCTCCTTCCGTGTTTCACACGGAAAAAGAAATTAATAGTTTGGAATGATATGAGGGTGAAGGCCTGTTCTCACCAAGATGAATATTTGGTATGATAAAGATTAATTTGAATGAACGGCTATTAAAGGCACAATATGTAATTTTCGCCGCTAGAGGGCGCGTATTCAAAATAAACAGAGACAAATGCATAGTTTGATGAGCTGTGACTGAATGTGGAATCATGGGAGTTGTCGTCTTCATCCCCACAGCCGATGCAATCCGACGGGACTCGGGCAGAAATCATGTTCATGGATGAGCTAATGATTTATTAACGTAGTAGAATGAAGCAGGGTGAGGCTAAAAGCCGTCGAAGTGAAACGAGGCCGCTGAACGAGCGCGACACACGGCTCGAAAGCAGCAGAGCTTTTATTATGCCACAGTCGACCGCTTCCACTCCTTCCGGTCGTGCGTATGTGGGGGGAAAAAGCAGCGCTGTTTTATCATACTTGATACATTTGAATATATATATTATAATGCTACTCTGTGCGGTCGTCACCGGTCTATTAAAACGCTCAACATATTAAAGTGTCTTTGGTGTTTCCATGTTTTCTACAAAACAAAACCGGAAATCGAGGGGTTATGACGTCATTGGCAGGCGACACAATGACACTATAGACACGGTCCGTGTCACTAGTTAAAATTGCTTATTTCTCTGGATTTAAACATTCTTTGAAACATTTGGGATAATGTAAGTACACAAGTCAGCAAAATATATAACACTGTTCTAGTGGTTTTTGGATATTTTAATAAAAAAATCTTACATATTGTGCCTTTAATGCACCTCTTTATACTGACACAAACATTTGTATGCTGACAATGCAACTTTCTTTTTTTTTAATGAAGAGATGTAATCCCTCTTCCATTGCACGGCAAAGAAAACTGGCCAACCAATAAGAGTTGCACTTTTGATCATGTCAAGAGCTGCTGCTGTTACATAAAAAATGATTTGGTTGTGCTCACGAACAAACTATTTTGCTAAGCAAATGTGAATAACAGACAAAGAATCCAGTGTCGTTTGGTAATCACCATAATAAATACAAAAATCGGATTGGCTGCTCGAAAACATGTAAATACTGTTTGACTGCCTTTCTTCTCTGTGACAATTGGGTGTTAGTAATGAAAAACTGCACAGCACTTATAATACCAAAATAACTGGGATATTTCTGCTTTTTAACAGCACCACCTATTTAATAGAGTAAATTCTGTCATTTTCATTCAACCTGTCTGCCTTTTTTTAAGCATGGGTCTGAACAGACAAATTGCATACAAAATTCAGACTGAATTTTTGTGCCAAGCATTCGTGTTGGTGTGAACTGACCTTGAGAAAATGACAACAGTATTTCATTTTTGGGTCAACTGTCCTTTTAAAACTGAAACACGCTCAGTGAGAGTTTCACAACAATAAAAATCTAATTATTATGAGTGCTCTGTGCTGGTAATCAAATATCTCAATCGCCACTGTGCATTTACAATGATCTTCCACACAGAAACTCTTTGTACTTTCAATACGTGATTCAAAAACTGGGCATGATGGGTTCGCCTGACAGACAATCTGATGTAAACAAGGGTGTATTGTTTTGGACGGAGTTAATACAGGCCGAGAGGGACCGTGATGACATTGAATGGCAGTTCACTTTCGTTCCACAGCTAAACACCATATTCAGATCCTTCCCTCAATTGGCTTGTCTGTTTTGAGTGAAAGTGACTCCCTCTCTTTCTGCATCAGCGCACACTCGCTTGCATGTTTGCATGTGTGTTCGAGGGCCCGTTAGCACTGCTGACTGACAAATAGGCCTTTTGGAATGTGAAGACTCGGTAAACAATGACACATTTTGTTCCAGCAGAGAGACAAAGCACTGCAACACAAGAGCCCTGTATCTACTGCAATCCGAATCCAGGATTTGCGACATTCACAAACATGGAAAATAAGCTCTATTCTAGATAACGGTTATACCGAGCGCTCAAACACGTTGTATGTTTAATGAGAAAGCCCTGTTTTCAAGAATTGACTGAAAGTGCAGACAAGAGCCTCTTTTAGTGTCTGGTAGTTACATAAGCCCCTTTGATTCACAGTACAACACTGTGTTTGTGTGTTTATATATTGTATCTGAATGAACTGAAAAAAGAAGAAAATTAAAAACAACAGAGATATGGAACCACCATAATATGAAAGAGGCCATATTTCTGCATGCTATGATGGATAGGGTTAAGAATTGCACATTACCATATGCAAAAAGGCAAGATGCCATTGCTATTATTTTCTACACATTTTATGATGGCAGTACACTGCATCAACGGCATCACTGTTTTTAAGCTTCATGAAGTGCCACACCAAGTTAATAGCATCTTTTGTCTGTGCTGTTTTAAAGCTTATGGTGTAGTCTGTCTTTCAAAAAAACCTGGCCTACTATAGATTCCATTCAAAATCTATTTGTTTAGCCAGGATGAGAGGACAAAGGTGGAAAGATCCAAATGGGGTGAAGGAGAAAGAATAGTTTTCCGCCACATTATCAAGGCCAGGTTTCATGAGAACCATAGGCAGGTAAAGTGATTCTTGTGCAAGAACTGACAAAAGTGAAAAGCCTGAAGGATGACTAGCAATATCAGAATCTGTGGAAACAGTGTAGTGGAGTGGTTTGGGTCATGATCATCTGCTCAAAAGGCTGGAAGGACAATGAGGAACGCTTCAGGATCTATGAAGACACTCAAGAGGTGGGTGGTTCGTCCTCATGCAAGTCCTCAAGCTCAACTTCTCTACCAGCCTCTCCACTGCTCCCCTTTCTGAGAGAGAAAGAAAAACAGAGAGAGAATTTGTGAATCATTGCCTTTCTAAACGATTCCTGCTTTAATCCAGTAGATGATCTTGAAGCAGCAAACTGTTCATCTCTAATCTATAACAACGGTGTCCAGTCTTGCTCCTGGAGGACCACTGTCCTGCAGAGTTTAGTTCCAACCCCAATAAAACACACCTGAACCAAGGTAATCAAGGTCTTCAGGATTATTAGAATGTTTTAGGTAGGTATGCTGGGACAAGATGGAGCAAAATTCTGCAGGATGTTGTCCCTCCAGGACCAGGATCGGACACCTATTAAATCTGGCTATGCCAATGAAGTATTTTGAAATTTAATTGAAATGAAATTGATAGAGAGAGACTGCAAAACTCAAAATGGAAGGCAACCAGCAGCAGTTTGTTTCACTTTTTATTTAATTTAGGGCAGATAAATCTGAAATCAATGATTACACAATATTAAATAATAATTACAAAACTGCACTGTGAATGATTTCTTAGAATAAAAAAGAGGAAATTAGCAGAAAATGCATTTAAAATTTAAATTACATTTACATTAAAGACAATGCAGTTGACAATATCCCATTTAGTTGCTATCAAGTTCCTAAAGTAAAACAATATTTTTGAAATCGTGTAAGCTTCAAACCAGCTAGTTCACATTTTTAGTTCTTTCTATTGTAGCAGGCTGGTACCTTATATAGTATGCATTACCAGTCAAAAGAAAAAAAAAGTTAATAGTTAAAAATATAGTTGGATTGTTTTTTTAAAAGAAATTAATGCTTTTATTCTGCAAGGATACATTAAATTGATCAAAAGTGACAGTAAAAAAATGTGCTTTTGAACTTTCTATTCATCAAAAAAAAAAACTGAAAAAAAAATTACCATGGTTTCCACAAAAATATTAAGCAGTGTTTTTTGAGCACCAAATCAGCTAATTTGAATGATTTCTGAATGACTCAGGACTGGAGTACTGGCTGCTGGAAAAATCAGCTTTGCCATCAAAAGAATAAATTGTTTTTTAAAAATATATTGAATTTTAAATTGTAATAATATTTCACAATATAACTGTTTTTACTGTATTTTTGAAATGCCTAACTTCTTTCAAAAACACACAAAAAAATCTTACCAAACCCAAAACTTTTGAACGGCAATGTATTTGATTCAGCTGGACTCTCTGACTGCAGCAAAACCGAACAGGTGAGTTCAACCAGCTGATGAAGTCTATTCAGCTAAATTCTTTTTCTAAAGCACATCTAAGCACACTGATGTTACAGTACATGACTTTACAGCACATTGGTCTACCTTAATAGCATAAAACAAACAAACAGAAATCACTATGCATTTAATGGAATATGCATAATATTAAACAGGTCTGAAGCATTTGTAGGAAGACAGTCTGTGGTTGAAACTATCCAGTAATAAACTCTGGAAGCTAGAAACATTCTGCGATGGAGGAAACACATGAACATGGGAAGGTTCTCTGCAACAGACACAAATGCACACACAGGTTTCAGAATGTACATAGTGGGACTGAATGAAAGACCATGACATGAGGAGTTTCACAGGGTTGGACTCGCCTAACAGTATCACCAAATACTTTCACTGCCATGAAGCAGGAGAAATGCCACACAGGGACAGGATGGAGGCTGATATGACTCATACTTTCACTGACCCGTGGGAATGTACGGAGAAGGGCAGGGAATCTGACACAGGGCTTGAGCGACAAATGACAATGACCACCTGTCACAATGAGTTACCTTAATGAGGGCTGGAGTTTAAAAGAGGGCCGGAACGGCCAAGAGTCCCTGCAGCAGAGAGAGACAGACAGTGGAGGAAAGGGAGGAGAGCATCAGCGGTTTCATGTGAAATAAAGCGGCAGAAACCAGGTCATTAAGAGGCTCCTGTGAGTTATTGCTGGTCAGAATGCCACAGGATGTTACATTAATCGGGCACATTAGACTACATTTAAATCATGTTCTGCAGTATAAGTCAATTTATGGAAATGGTACTCATCAGATAATCTTATAAAACTGCAGTCAGAGATAGTAGACTTGCATATACTCTTAGCCTAGTGCTGTTAGAGACAGACAGCATTAGCATCAACAACTGAAGAGATGGATGAGCCCAGACGTTTATGAAAACTCATCAAATGCCAAGCATATTTGTCCAGAAGAGACCGCATTTAACCCTTGTATTTGACAAACACCAACAGGAAATATTATCAACTAACTCCAGTCTGGGCTTCATGAGCATATGAATAGGTTGCCCACAGTCAACCTGCGCTCTATGGCTAAAAAATGGAAGCAATTTTTAAGGTGCTGGAGGCCAGAAAAAAGTTCTGAAATGTAATAATGTGCAGCCACATTTTCATCACAGCCAACAAATGTGTAATGATACGGCGATTTCTTTTTTCAAGCTCTGAGGCAGGGTTGGTTCAGTCATGTCCTAACCAGCCCTGAAATGACAACTTTTACACAGAAAGCAAAAAGTGACAACTAATAAGAACATATTTCATGTTTAATAACAAAATGTGATATAAATTGTGACTGATTTTAATGTTATAGCCAATAAACAATACATTTAAGATATTTAAATTGTGTACTACTGAATGTTTTTATGTTTTTTTTTCAATGAAATGTATATATATATATATATATATATATATATATATATATATATATATATATATATATATATATATATATACTGTATATAAATAAATACAAATATACATCAATATGCACTGTACAGTAAGTGTGTGTTTAGATGAAAAAGGTTATTAACGGTGCAGGAGGTAATGTATTCAACCTGACACTGAATTATGGATGACATGCAAATGAGCACACCTGACAATTGGAGATTTAAAGGGACAGAAGGATTTTCAAAATTCTGATGATGACGTTCTACCAACTGGGGGCGCTGCTGCTTTTTATCAATTCAAACAGAAAAACACTATAACTCAGAGGCAACAACTAACTGACAAATGGCTAATAAAAAAAATTATAGAGGTAAATGAAAATACAATTTACTGCCTCTTGGAAAAGGAGGTGATCTGCGGAGTCACCGTATTGATCGACATTGTTTCCAATCAGATTTCACCTTTGTCAACAGAGAGAGGCCACACCAAACCAGCATGTCAATTTGTTTACAGATCAAATCAAATGACCTTTCAGTTTTGATTGCACGAACAGAAACTGCATACGGCACATCTGGAAAAACAACATAACCCATCGCATTCAGCACTGCATTAAAATATTGGCAAGACTGACTTTGGTCTATATGGGATGCATACAGAGCAGGGATGGGAAGATTCACCGATTCGCTCGGTGCATCGGCAAAAAAAGTTAACGATGCGATGCATCGGTTTAAAAAGTGAGCATCGGATACAAGTTGGCATTTGTATCGCGATGCATCGTTTCTAACATTTTTGCATCGATAAAAAACTATTTATTTATATATAATTACTAGTTGATGGCTACACTTTTATTGTTTAGAAAGTGACCAATAATCTGTGACCAATATTTTATATGTAGATTGATTTCTCCTCTCGAAACTGTTTCTCAAGCGCGTTCTCTCATCACCGCTGTGCGTGAATATGGCGTATCACAACAACACTACAGAGACCTGAGGAAAAGCGGGGTTTAAAGTCTAAAACCTGACTTGAAATAACCTAACAAATCAATCGGGGATAAAGCAGTTCCATAAACAGCAATGTAAATTCACACAATCTCACTAATTTGTGGACGCTTAATCTTAAGCAGCCCTTAATGTCGATCATGGATCAAATCGATCCACCATGGCAAACAGCGAATATATTTGTGCTGTTTAATGCATTTTAGACGTTGTGTTTTCCTGACATGTCACGAGTATATTTCTTAAGTCATGCAAATATATCTATTTTGCTTGCTGTCAGGAGTGGGTGAGGCATACGCGAGTGAACGAGCGCTGCTACGCACATGCATGCTAAACAGACGGAGCACAATAAATCTGAGTCAAATATGCATTTTGCTAAAATAGTCGTTGTTGGACATTAAATGTGCCTTTTGTAGAATTTTAAAACTACATATAGGCCTATTCTAATGATAGCAGAAACTGTAAAGGGACTATTGTAATGGGTAAATAAAATGTAAGCTAATTCAGTCCTAATTACTAAGCTTACTACTTAATTACTACTTAATGTGTGTTTCTTATAGCAGTTCAAATGTAGTTTTAATTTAGTGATTGCTTTAAAGAGCCATGTTAGATTGTAAAGTTCTAATGCTATCTGCTCTAACTATAAAAGGTACAGCTGTCATAAAACCAGAGAAAAAGGCTGCATGGCTATGATAGTATGTGAGAGAGTCAGTGGTAATATCGATGCGTTCCTATTGTTCAGTGTTAGAGGAGCTCAGCTTAGTCTGACAGTTTGCCTGCCCTGGACCAGGATAGCTTTCCAGCATAAGTTGCCACAGTGACTGATTTTGATCTTTGTTAAATTTGTTTTATGGAACCAAATCAATTGACAGTGAGTCAGACTAATTGAAATAAGACTTTTATGAAACAGGTCTCGAGGCATTAGAAGTCAGTAGTCACATAAGTTAATTTATGATTTGCTGTCTGTCTGAACCAAAGAAATAAATGCGATCATATTTTTTTCCATTGCATCGAATCGCATTGTGTTGAATCGGATCAAATCGAAATCGCTAGCTACTTCATATGTATCTTCTATGTATCGTATCGTTGGCAATGCATCGAGATCTGCCTCAGTTATGGAGATGCACATCCCTAATACAGAGATAAGCAGACTGTTTGTATTGATCCAGGGTATTCAGAAGACAGGGAACAACCCTCTGTTGATTCTGACAGGCATCTAACAGACAGCACAGAGAGAGGAATAGTGAGAGAACATTCTGCTGTCCTTGAACAAACCCCCTCTAATATGGGAAAAGCAGCAGAGTGGGGACAGAAATGACTTCATGGAGACACGTACTGTCAGTCTAGTGGGCAGATACATTAACAGCAAAAGCCTCTGAGAATAACTGTCATAGGAGAGATGCTGCAAACATCCAGCAGAATTCAAAAACGGAATAATTGTTGTGACCTTTTTCGATCCTGTATATGTGAAAACATGAAAATTATCATTTGAATTAATTATTAATTAACTGAATTATTTTAAACACACACAAACACATGTTTATAATTCAATTTATAAATTAAAAAATTTAGTATTTTTACTAAAAAAGTTTTCAGACATGTATATATATAAATTTGTATGTATGTATATATATGTATATATATATATATATATATATATATATATATATATATATATAAAAAATATATATAT